GGCCACTTCACACACTGAGGATTTCAAGTCGAGGGCTACAACAATCATCAGGAGCGTGGCCTCGGCCTCACCGTGGCCGAAGGGCGGCGCCGAGGTAGCGCGCTTTCGCGCGCCCGGGGTAACCGAGGTAGACGGTTCTTCGTGCGCCGAACGCGACGCGGTATTGGAGTACCTTCCGGTGGCTCCTGGGAAGGATTAACACTGGAGCCTGGAACCATCTGGTGGAGCTATAGAGCGGAGTCGTTCACCACCGGACTGTTTGGTCATCCGAGTCTTCGGGGGCCGAACTGCGTTCTCCACGTTGGCGGATTCGTGTATATAGAGGAAAACATGTTACACACCCAGGTGTGTAACAAAAGAACACCGCACCCTGCAGAGGTGTTGGCACCCTCTAAGTGGTTGATGCAGATTCGGTCGGTCGAGCCCATCACGGCACGGCGTGGACATCCAGGCATCCGGACTTCGGGGGGGTTCAGAACATGACGCCAGTCATCTCTGAACAAGTGAACCTTCGGATCAGGATACAGACCTTTCGAGCTCCCTACTCGGACTGAAGCTGGCTTCGGTGTGTTGGGAGCTTCTCCTGGAAGAGGACTTGAAGAGATGTCGCTCGCCTCGGTGGCACCAAGAAGACCAGGCACAGATGCCTGCAACAGGGGATGCCCATGGCGCACAAGCCGTCCCAATTCATAATTAATTGTTTAGATATAGTCAGATGTATGAATCCCCCCTGTAGCCTACATTGGCTGATTTCATACTTCTCCAACGGGTTTCGCAGGAGCCCAATTGTGAGCTCCGTTCTTCCTGGTGCACTCACCTCCCCTCCCTCAGCTCCAGGAGTTGGTGGCTGTGTCAGACTGGTCCAACGAGGTCTACATCAAGCCGAGGCGCTGAAACGGGCGGTGCCGGATGTGCGGGTCGGCTCGTCCAAACGGGCCTCTTCCGAAGACCGAGAGAGCTTCCGAGGAGCGCCAGGAACAGGCCCAAGCGCCGCCTTCGTGTGCCCAGTCAGCTCCGGGCTGTTTTTTTTGGGGGAACAGTCTAAAGCCAGCCAAGTGCCATTCATCCTCAAGGACGATGAATGACGAACTGGCAAACAAGCGGTGTCCTACCATGTCCTACCCAGGGCAAAACCTGTTTTGGGGATTTGGTGGCCTCACTAAAGCCCAACAGGTGAAAAAAAACGGGTTTACCATGCTTTTCCTGAAACGGTTCAGGGGTCAGCAGAGATGCAAGTGAGGGTAAAGACCTTATTGGAAGCCGACTCGGGTCGACGTTGCGGCTGCCGTCCTGCGCTGCACTCCCGAGCTCAATGCGTTCGCACCCATACAGCGAGACACGCACCGAACTGCAATACACCAAGGGTTGAGGTTTAGGGATGTTTATGGTTTAGGGTCTTGACTGGCGTATGATACCGTAGTGGCCGGATGAACGTGATGTGGCGGAAAACACCAACCAGCGGCGGAACGGCGGTATACGGCGGTAGTGGTGTAGGACACAAGCAGCTAAGCATGCTCATTGTGCTTTTCTGCAGTGGTGCAGTGGTGTAGGACACATTTCGCAGTGGTGGAGTGGTGAATCTGCTCATTCTGCTTTTCTTTAACCGTAAGTGGCAGATTCTCGAGTGCAACCCCCCGTATAAAGTGTGGCTGGCGCAGCCCTGACGACGGGCTAGCACCTAACACACTCGCACACAGGTGAATAGGATCTGTAGATGTATAGTTGTACTGTGTATAAAATTGTATGAATAATACAATAATACTCATAAGATCACATAAGGACATTGAACCTTGTATCAACAAAGCAAACACAACAATACAATGTCATGCAGGTGGTGTGCCAGATGTCCTATGCATCAACGTCACCATGTATCACCCTATCTCCTCCCGGGAGAAACCGGTGACCCCGCCGGGTCTACCGGGGTGGTGCCGTGCTCCCGCGCCACAGGAGCACCATCTTCGACGTACCGAGCCGGATCCTCAAGGTCAATGCTGCCGTGCCCACCGACTCCCTCGAGCCCCTCGGCACGGCTGGAAGAGGAAGCCGAAGCAAGAGCTGAATCGGCCGGCTTGCTTCAGGTGAAGTTGGGCACACCCGCCGTGATGAAAGGCATCCTTTTTTAGGCACCAAATTCAGCCCAGTTCAGCCACCTGGAACAGTTTGACAGTATTTTTTCTCCCCAGGTGGCTTTATTGTTTTCTAGATGTTGCAGGTAATTGTGCTGTATGTCATGTTGTGATATTTATTGATATTTTGCGTCAAGAAGGCGGCACCGTTCTATTAAGACCTGCCGCCTGCCATCGACGAGACAGGAAAGCGCAGAGAGTCCACTTTGAGGATGCACACTTACGATGTGCCGTGCCTTTTGGGGGGTCTTGTTGTGGTTCTGTTAAGTTTTAGACCAGAGCTGTGTTATGTTATGTTATATATGTTGTGTCTGTTATGTTTTGTTAAAACCATGTTTAAACCCCTTGCAAGGGCTCAAATTTGCATCTAGAGCTCAATTGAAGTAACTCTGGCTGAAACGTGACAGTCACATGATGTCACACGTTCATTCCGACGAGGTACTTCGTGGAGCATTTCGCGCAGTTCAACATCAACGGCAAACATCCTCAACATTTGGTCATTTTGAGCATCTCGCCAAGGGAAGGAGTTCATTGAAGCATAGCAGCATCACCTTCCCCTTCTCCAGTGTTCAGAGGAGCGTTGGCATCAGCCAACCCCAGCCTTTTTGGGCGTCTTTTTTTCACGCGGTTGTTTCAATTGCTTTGACATGACTTGACCTGCATAGGATTGGACCAATGTTCCTGTCGGACACTCCAACTTCCCCAAAAGACACTCCAAACAAACATCCCGCGAGCCGTTCGAGCCAGTCCATATGTTTCCGTTCACCACTCCGGAAAAGTCCAGTCGGAAAACTGATGGACATACAGACTGGCTGGTAGGAGGGAGCTAAGGAGCTTCATGACTAACTAGTGTCCCTGTGGATCGACATGCCCTCTGAGCTGATTAGAGAGACCTCTTTACCTCTTTACCTTTTCTTGGAGCGTCCAAGTACCTTCTGAGCAAGGTGGCGCTGGATTTGTTGATCCGACCGGGTGAGATTCACCATTTTATGGACGTAGCGGTAGCCATTTCTCACGGCCACGCGTGGGTCCGGGTATTGCCCTTCCAAGGAAGAGCAGTTTACTGTGAATGTACCCAGACGTTCCGTTCACAGCCCGACTGGTCTCGGGTCCAGACCCCGTGACCAGTTCGGAAGAACGGGTCCGACCCCTGCAGGACCCGGCTTCGGGGCCGGTCTCGGGTCGCGTCACTCTTTGTCACTCCACACTTCGTTTTGTGGATCGGTCGCATGCGACGTGATGCTTGACGGCTTGACCGCTTCATGTGTTGACAAAACAGGGGACTAATCGAGTGACCTAGGTAATACGAGTCATCAGGGGTCTAGAAAAGAAAACATTCAGAAAGCTGAAACCAGCATGAGCTTTGAAGAAGTTGCCTCCTTGGTGACATTAGCCAACATTAGCCCAACCTCAAAGGGATGGAGAATGTCATGGAGGGTTCTTCCTGTAGAGGTCTATCAGGTTTCTTGTTTGCCAAGGGTTCGGCTGCCGTTCCACTTTTGACTCTGACGTCCTCAACTGAGAATCTGATCCTGCCCAGTCAGTGGAGAACCTTGAACCTGCAGTCCTTAAACCTTTTTTTTGGGGATGGATTTCCCCACCTAAAGGAAGACAATAACCAACAGATGGAAAAAGGTTGTATATATAATTATACAACTGTATACTATAACATATTATAACCCATATTATATAGCCTCCGTTTTCCAGGGAAACGGCTCAGAAGTCAGTCATAAACAGCTCGGGAGTCAGTCATAAACGAGTCAGTTGTAAACGGCTCTGGAGTCAGTCATACTGCAACATGGTGTAATGAACTTCCACAGGCTGCCTCCCACGGCTAACCTCCGAAGCAGCCAGAACTGCAGGCTTTTCGTTTCTTTTGTTTTCAGCTCCTCAGGTGATATCAAGGTGTGCTATCACAAGAACTGGCGAGACTTTCGAGCTCCCTAGCCACCAAACCCGATGGGAAGATGCGGGGGGTCAAGTGAGTGATTGCCCTCACGGGCCAATGATTCGTTCCTCGCACCCCGGTCCGACCTCCATGGAGTCCGCAGCCCGACATGAAACTCCTGGATGTTTCACTATTCTTGGCAATGGTCCAATGTTCAATCATGTTCAATCGGATTGGCAAAGTTGCAGAGAGCTTCCGCACGTTCTTTCTCGCAGCTCACAGGCCTTTTGGTCAACGTAGACGGCTGGAATCCGCCAGAACTTGCATGTAGGTATCAGGTCTCAAGGGCTTCACGCAAACATGCAACATTGCATTTGCTTCGGCGGAATCCCTTGCTCATGCAGGTATTTCAGAGTCTGGAAAAGAGGGATGGATCAATGAATGGATGTAAGAAATTCACCACATTGCAATCGATGCAAAGTCTGTACCTCAGAATTGATGGCAGTTATATCAATATCCTTCTTCCCCACAAATGACAGTAAGCACCACAGGGTATAGGGATACCAACAGAGGTTTTCAGAACCCTATCCGACTATCCCAGAAAAAAACATAAGTAACTACCCCGGTAGGGTAGGGTCCTGCAAGGTTTACTTGACCTCTGTTGGTGGGGAGGCGGAGGAGATCGGAGAACATACCTTTCGAGTTGTGGTGGACACGTGGACACGTCGATTCGCGGTTTCACTACGAATCGTCACGTAGTTAACAGGCTCCACGGTCGGTGCTCCGGAAGCCGTGTGATTCTTTTTTTTTGGCGGTTCGACCATTGTACCATCATGTACCATCATGCACCTAATAGCCAAGCGGGGCCAAGCCCATCCAAGCCCTATTAGATAACCAAACACAGTGGCCTCATTGATAGTATACAGTATATATCATATGTATACAATTATGCACCGACACAATAATTAATTCCTGCGTAGTTGCCTATGCCAACCGCAGATATGTTGCGGAAGGGGAAGTCCGCGGAACTCCAACTTGCTATATGCTTAGGGACGGGGTTGGAAGCCTCCAATCCTGTCGAAAGAAGAGCGAAGGAATGCAGGAAACGGAAACGACTGGAATTGGGATCGTCAAAGTCACGGACCTTGAGGGCCAATCGACGCTGTACATCAGGCAGCGAGAGGGACGTTTGGACGGTCAACCAATCAACAAATCAGTTGCCCAGGAATGAAGAGATGGACATGTGCATTGCATGTCGCGCTGGATCTCAGGACTGCATGTCGGACTTCCTCTTAACCGCTTACATGGGCGAGAGCAGCGCTCGCTGTGAGAAAGAGACGAGGCAGGGTCCGTCGGTGCAGCAACAGTCACACCCCGGCACCCATCCGACCCATCCTCTCAGCTGCTTTTTCCCCCCTCTCACGTGCCCTCGGCAGCTTCGAAACCCAATGTTCAAAAAGCTTGTGAAGGGCCGGCCACGGAGGGTTTGGGACCCATCATTCATCCAAGAACGAAAGCCGAAAGTGGACGGAGTGGACGGATCCTGAGCACCCGGCCGCGGAGCCGGTCCGTTCCGCAGAACTGGCACCTGCGTCTCCTTTGACAAGACCAGCATCTTTAGGCCGCCGGCCGGCATTGTTGCCCGGCCGAGCAGGGCACAAGGGCAGGATGGATGGAGAACAGGGCGTGACGCGGATGGATGGAGTTGGGAGCAGAACATCGAAACAGCGTGGTGGTTTTTTGTTGTTGTTGCTAGGCCTCTGTCCTTATTTCATCGTGAGCTGCGTTCCCGTTTTGGCATTCAGTGACAAGAGGTGCATGTTTGGCCGTGGGATTTTGGGCCCTTTCGTGCACCACCTACAGCTTAGACAGGCTGGTCTGGGCTGGGTCTTGAACAGGTTCCTTGGGGCAGAGTTCAACCCCAAACTCTGGAAGTTCAGATCTTTTGCACCCCTAAGGCCCCTAACATCCCCCCCCTAACCAGGTTGCGACCTGGTGGTCAAGATGGAGGACGTCTCAGTACACCATCAGGGTCACCTTCTCGGCACCGCTTGGCTCGGCACCGCTCGGCCTCCGAGTCCAGGTTCAGGGAGATGTGGATGACGAGGAGGAGAACCGCACACAGGCGCGCGGACAGCGCCCAGCGCGGGTGTGCACAGATGGGGCAAAATCCTTTTGGGGAAGAAGACTCATCGGCGAGGATCGGCTAAAAATCAGCAGTTCGACCACCCACGAAGCATGATGAAGTCATGGTTGTGACCTCATCAGGGCAATCCAACACATATCCACAAATGAAGCATGCGAACTGAATTCTGGATGATGAGGTTCCAGCCTCCCTCTCACCAGATGGGCCCCTTTAAGCATCCAAAAGCCTTTGAAGGACTCACCCGATGGGGTGCTCTTAAACATCTAAAGAAGCAATTGAAAAACACAAAAAACACATCCTGGTCAATGCTGAAGATGTTCGATCCAACCAAGGTCAGTCTGGTGCCATGACCTGCCAGGTGTTGGACGGCGAGATCGGCAAGACCACGCTCTGCGTGGGCGCCGCCGATCGGAAGTGCCGTGGCGGGGAGAGTTCGCTTTCGGACGGCAGAGTTCGACGGTTTAAGCAAAAAAGATTGAACACAATGACCGGTAGGGCCTGGGACCTGATTGAAATATACTTCATAGACTTCATGTGACAATTCACTCAGGACCTTGACCTATATATATATATAATATCATCCAGAATCGCTATGGGCAGCACGACAGATTTCCACCTTGTTTTGCTATAAGTAAGTTTATAATAGTTTATAATTGGTTGTTGTTTTTATCATGTGCCGTCCTCTTGTGGTTCCCTTATGTGGTTGTGCCATACGTTCCTATTTTTTTTGCCACGGACTGGTTTAAACAGCTTAACATGCTTTCCGCCTAGTTAATAGTTACTAGTTGCCACATCATGGTCTAGTTACCTTGATTTCGATCTGTCACGGGCCCTGCGTTGAATCACCTCACAAGGGAAGCCTGGCTTGGGAACCCCCAAATCTGGGTATTCCTTTCTACGCACCCCGTTCTCAGTGCTCCGACCGCAAGGCTGTGTGATGTGTTCATCACCTTGCGGAAGTCCTCAGGAGAAGACGTCGCTGAAGGCCGGCGCCAGGTCGCCGCGCGCGCGCACGTCGCCGTGCGGGTCCGGCCACGCCTAAGGAGTCGATGGGAGCGGTGGGTGTGGGGAGGAAACACCAACAGCAGATCCTCCTCCGTACAGAGGAGTAAAGGTGTGGTTCGTTGGTTCGAGCGCTGCCAGATGTGTCCCGTATACAGTCTGCCGTAGATGCAGTGTGACATGAATCTGAGTATTCAATAGTATTCATAATTATAAAGGCTCTCCCTCTTCTGTCTGTCTGTGAGCGGCCCTTGTGGCTTTTCATTTTCCATATATATTTTTTTTGGAGGTGTCGCTCATCTTCGTTGAGCTGGATACCTGTTGACGACCCAGAAAAACCGAAGAGCGGGGTGTCATCGGGCTCTTTGGGTGGTTAGCACGTGGGCCCTGAAAACCCGTCGTTCGCGCAGTTCACCCGTGCGTCTCCCAAACGTCGGCTTCATCTGCTTGTTCACCGCGTGTCCGCGCAGTTCACCCTTGCAGCTGTGCTTGGGCCCGCGCAGCGGATGTGCCAGGGAAGCTGGAATGGGACGATTTGATCGAAGCCTTTGACAAGTATGAGGTCACCGAGGACAGCGAAGGCAATGAAGTCTTGGAGGCCGTCGAGTCTTGGGATTCGTCTGAGCACCGGGTCGGTGTAGATAGACCCGTTTGGGGGCGATTCAGAACGGAGCAGTCCGCGGGTGGTGGGCTTTGGGATTTGGAGAGATGAAGGCGGAGGAGGGAGCAGCGGAAGTACCTTCCCCCTTTCGGTGGGTGGCACAACTCATGGTGACTCATGCCTATAGGGCCCAGTGTGCAGAGGGATGCCCACAAAAGCACCTGAAAACGACCAGGAAGACGCAACAGTCTATTTGCGACAAGACGGTGTGGGTTTGGCACCCGGTTTTGCCAAGGAGGCCAGAGGGACAACCAAAATTTGAGCTGCGCTGACAGGAACAAACCATTTTTGTGGAGCTGGTGAACGAGAAGGCCTGGTGGGCGAAAGCGCATGTAAGAGCAGAGAGTTCTAACAAGGTCGAGTTTGCAAAGGGGGAGGTAACAAGGCCGAGTTTGCAAAGGGGGAGGTCTATGCCAGGATGTCCGGGCTCTTTTTTGCTTAAACAAATTGCCAGGAACATGCCAGCGGCTTGATGGTCCATTCGTTTGGCGTTTCGGAACTCAGTTCCGGGACCATTGACTCGTCCGAGTCTGGTGGTCGTTTCTGGTGAACGTCAGGTGGAGGGGGAGTTCGACGAGGAATGGCTGGTCTGGGTGGAGGCGCGAGTGACCTTCAAGAACGAGCGGCTTGGACTCATGACTCGGTCGAGACCGAGATGAACAGGAGATAAAAGGGGGCTAGGGCATAGAACTACCATAAATCCTCTTTTGCTAGGGCACGAAAGGGGATAAAGGGGGATGAACTAGCATGGGTCAATGGATGTCATCAAAATGTCTAAATTTACATGCATATACTGTATACTTCTATGTTGTTCATCTTTGGGCCTACTGAGGTATCGAGGGGTCTTGATCCACACAGCCATTTAAAGGTTTGTTTACTATATTTATTTACATTTATTTACTATATCTGACATTCCAGCTAATGGACAACCCTAACACTGCTTACAGGTCACATTAGGTCACCATTGGACACCCATTGGAAACGCTAGGTTCATAGTTGTGTTTTTATATTTGTTTATTTTATATAATATATATATATATTGTACATATAATATATATATTTGTATGCTGACATGTGCACTGTCAGGATTGGCGGGGGGGGGCTTTTGTGCCCGAACTGTTTTGCCTGGCATGACAGATCAAAGATCCACGAGAACACATGAATGCCTACAAGGTCCTGTTGGTCAAGGCTAAGTCTCCTGACTTTCGGACCTTTGTTTTCTTTATTGCCGATAGACACGGGGGAAATAGGGAGGACCGAAGGCGAAACGGCCCTGAGGCTGGATTCCAAGTGTGAAGAGATGCCCTACTCCAAACGTGCCTGTGCCCGCAGCAAGCAGTGGACAAGATCAGTGATTCGATGTCCCAAAAGAAGCCAAGCCATTCCAAGCCTAAGTTGCGAATAGATGCAAGTATCTTAATTTGTATGGAAGGGACACATTTCAGTCATCATGAATCATCAAGTCAGCAAGCCGTCCCTTCGTGCGGTCTCTGGCAGAACGCACAGGGCCCCTCGGCAGTTTTGTTGAAGCCTCGTAGACGGTGAGGCCATAGGAATGGGGAAGCAAGAGCCTGTATAGTATTGGTTTGGGTCGACCATCGAATGTTCATAAATAGTTGGTATAGATGTTGTTAGATGTTTGGCTAGAAGGTGTTCATCCTTCCTGCAGGAATAGATGTTTGGCGATATCATTATGATTCACAGACTCATGATATCATTAATGTATGTTTTTTTTTTTGGATGTGAATCATGTATGAGTTTGTGTTTTCTCTGTGTTTCATTCACAATCATCATTCCCATGGGTGAGAGGGCCCGCATCTTCATCATGTTTCTTTGTCTCGTCCCCGTCGTCCGGTCCTGAACCCACGGCACATAGGGGTCTCCCATCAGATGTATCCACCTGAAGGGTCTCCCCCCTGAAGGCGCCCGAACCCAAAAACCTTCCAAACCCCGAACACCTTCAACCATCTCATTGCACGCATCTTCGGCGTATCGGAAGGTCGTGGTATCGGAAGTCAGAAGTCCCTCTCCTCCCCAGTCCCCATCCCCTCACCATCCCGGACACCAAACTTCTACACCTCAACATCCCAAATTGCCGGACTCGGTGCTTCCGACTTCGTCATCGCGAGCGAGCGAACCCGGTGCCTCAGTCCGTCCCCCGGCGTCCGACGTCGTCCCCGAGGCATTTTTCAATTGGACCCTCCGGGGCAGATCTTCTACGAAGGCATGGAACGGTTCCTGGCCTGGGATCCCACCAGCGCCTTGGGCCACCGAAGCAACGCGAAGCAAGCGCGACGCGAACGCGGCGCGTCCCGCCCGGACGGAACTCGACCCGAGAGGTCTTCGTGTGAGGAACGTCCCCGTGACGCAAAGAGAGAGAGAGAGAGAGAGAGAAGAAAGACATCCTGACTGGAACGTATTTTTTGGACTTCTTACACAACATGTTGCCCAACTCACTAACAATAATAGTATGCTAGCATGTTAGCAACTTTCAAATGCGTGTATATAGAATGAGCAGCTACATGGCAGCCGTTGGAAGCATCAGTGTGGGCGCCTTTTTCGGCGAAAAAGACCGTACGCACCAAAACAATATATATATATATATACATATAGAAGATTATAGAAGCATCCCGCTCTGCAGCGGCCAACATTTAGCCACGATTTGCACAACTGGAAAGCTTGAGTTCAAAAAGCCTTTAAACATTACACTATTTTTCCGCAAGTCCTCAAGTCCCCAGCGCATGGCCAGCTCGAGATGAAAAGAACCATGGAGACACATGGGGACAAGGGGGCGCCAGGCATGCCGAATGATTGGGGGGGGACCATCTTGGATGGCTTGTATGAGCCAAACTGGATCAGTTCACTTCCAAGAATCTCGGGGGGTTCAGGAAGCTCGAGTCCCTTTCTTGGTCCCTTTGGTGTTGAGGGGGTGGCTTGACTCAGCCCTTAAGCGACCGGATGCCGAGCCGTTCGTGGCGTTTTCGTCTGGCCACCGAGGTGAGTCTTTGCAGGTGGGCCGATCTGGGGTTCCGTTGGGGGGGGGTCGCTCTACGTCTTCTATCGCTCTACGTACTGTACTCACTTTTGCATACTTTCGCCGGATAAAGCTTGGTAGAAGAGATGATATCCATATATAAAGGCTCTAGCTCCTGGCTTGAGGAGCTGGGTGGAAGATTGGTGATATTTGTTGCTCTACCAGCACCTCCAACAGGTCACCAATTGAAACCTCTTAGGGCCTAACAACCCTCCATTTCGGAGACCTGTTGGGTTCGGTGCTGGTACTCGCTACTTTCAATTACCAGCCGGACAAAACCGGTTTGTGGAGAGTTCATCCCTCATTGGCTCTCCTTTTCACGATGCTTTGATCTTGCTGTTGATCTGCCCGAGCAGACCGGTCCAACAGTTCGGCAAGTGTTTAGTGGATTTCGAGCGAAGTGGGGACAGGCATGTGGAAACTCACCTAACAACAACAACAACAACAACAACAACAAGAACAAGAACAAGAACAAGAGGCACAGCCACAGTGAGCCACAGAAATCCCATTCTGTATTGGACTGATTTGGACTGCAGTTCCATCTTGGCCCTTCATGTCTTCACTCCCTAACCCTATCGCATCCCACCCACACACACACTCTGACATTGGTTTTCAGTGACTCAGTTCCCACGTTGGGAAGGAAGGTGAGGGAACGGAAAGGTGCGTGAGTCAGCAAAACCGTATTGTTGAACAAAGTTTCGACAGGTGTGCGGTGGCGAGCCTCTGTACAATTCAGCTGCGTGAGAAAGTGGAAGGGTTTGTGGGAAGTATCATGAACCACCATGGAATCAAAAAGGAGGATTGGAACAGCTTGCTCAACCGTTGAAGCAGGTACAGGTGGATGATCAGTCCACCCATCCCTCGATACACCAGAGCTTCGTTGCGTCAGGTAGGTGTATCGAGCCTGACGCCCCTGCCGAAGTTGGTTGAGAACCCTTTGTCCAGGGGTGGACACACACAAATCGCCGGCTTCGGCGCTTTTTCAAAGAACGGTGGCACACACACTGTGAAAAACCTAAATAGGCACCTAAAAAGCCTTAGAAACAAAAGGAAAGAAAGACAGAAAGAGCAGCGCTAAGAGGGGAAGAAAGAAAGATAGGTGTAGGAAAATGACTACTTAGCCCTTGACTGGGGTAGGGAAACGAGCCTCAAGAACAACCTAAAAAGCCTGAGAGAAAGCCCAAAAAACGACCGAAGGCGTAAGAAGAAAAGCGGGGGGCAGGGAAGTGTATGTACATGTGTGTGTCCGTGTGTGTGTATGAATACTTAGCCCTCTAGAATTACTGATTACTTAGCAGAAATGAATTGCGTGCAATAGCTAGGGAGCGGGACTTTAGCCTTAGACCGCCCGGGTAGGAAAGACTAGAAAAGGAACAACACAGGGAAAGGCACCGACACACAAGCGTGTCGAGTACCATTTCCCTATGTTGCCCTAAATAGGTAGGGAGTAGAACTCAGCGGGGGGGGGGGGGG